ATCCCGGGGCACGCGGGATGATCCCGGACCGGCAGGATGGTCCCTGTGACATCCCGGGGCACGCGGGATGATCCCGGACCGGCAGGATGGTCCCTGTGACATCCCGGGGCACGCGGGATGATCCCGGACCGGCAGGATGGTCCCTGTGACATCCCGGGGCACGCGGGATGATCCCGGACCGGCAGGATGGTCCCTGTGACATCCCGGGTATGCGACACCGATCGCTGTGACACCGCAGACCGGCGGGAGCAGAAGGACCATCCCTGTGACACCCCAGACAGGCAGGACGGTCCCTGTGACACCCTGAACCGGTGGGAGCAGAGGGACCATCATGATGATGCCTCAGAACGGAGGGATCACTCCTGTGATACCCCAGACCCGTTGGGTGACCCAGGATGGACGCTGTGACACCCCGGACCAGTGGGAGGAGCACATACATACATCTATCTATATAAATATATATAATATATATATTTAAATAGGATTATTCTTAAAAAAGCCCTCCGGGGACCGCGGGGAAGCTCCCTCCCCCGCACATCCTCCCCCCCTCCCGGTACCGTGCTCCCCCTCCTCACAAGGCTTCGTGATACACGTGTGCGAGGGGACCGTCCCCGCGGGACCCCTCGGGGCAGGGGCTGCCAGTCCGCTCCTCCCCGGGCCGCGGGGCGGGGGTCCGGTACCGCACCGGGGGGCACCCGGGGGGCCCCGCGATGCCGCAGGGGCTGCGGCGCGTCCCGGGGGGCTCGGGCTCGCTGAAGGGTGTGGCGTACTCGGGCTCCGGGGGCAGCGGCTCCGCGTACTCGTGGTGCTTCCCCGGCACGTCGTAGTGGCTCAGGACCAGCGGCAGCGTGTAGCCCTCGTCCAGGAGCGGCTTGAAGGTGGAGGGACCCGTCTGGCTGCTGGGGCTCACCTGCACCAGGTCTGGCTCGGCGTACTCTGAAAGGGGGCTGCGCGGTCAGGGGGTCGTGGGGCTGGGACGGGGGGTGGGGTGGGTTGAAAAAGTGGGCGCGTTTGGACCCCCGGGGCTGGGGAGAGCTGTGCCAAAACCAGGGGTAGGATGCCCACCCCATGGACCCCACATCCCTCTGCCCCAGCACAGAGAAGGGCTCCTGGTGCCACCTGGCCACCCTCCAATACCCACGGCTGTGATTGAGATGGAATTTATTATTATTATTATTATTATTATTATTATTATTATTATTATTATTATTATTATTATTATTACCATCTGCTATTATTGTTGTTATTAATATTATTATCATTATTATTTATCATCCCTATTATTAATGTTGTTCTTATTATTTAGTAATAGTATAGTTATTGCTGTAATTATTGTTATCATTGTTGCCATTGTTATTATCCTTATTTATTATTTATTATTCTTTTATTATTCTGTTATTATTATTGCTACTACTATTATAAAATAATAAGCCCCCAAAGGGTCTCCCTTTTGCATAGGACTGTGATGCAGGAGGGGTTGGACCAGAATGGGAAGAGGAGAGGAATGGACACCCCAGAGTGTCCCCAGGGTGCAGTGGGGGAGACACGGTCCTGACTCTGGGCTGGGGGACCTGTTTGCCCCCCACTGTCCCTGTTACCTGGGGAATGGGTCCGGCTGAGGTCTCCTGGTGCAGGTGCCGTGGGGAAGGAGGCCAGGCTGGGGGGCTGCAGGCTCTGCAGGGAGCACACCTGGCTTGACTCCAGCTTGGGGTACCCTGGGCAGGGAGCAGAAACCCCTGTTTGTCCCAGGCTGTCACCTGGACAGTCCCCCCAGGAAGGGGATGGCTCTGGGCTCAGCAGCAGCACCAGTTAAACCAGCTGCACCCCATGGCCCACAGGACTCCTGGTTCTGGGGAGGGCTTGGGGACCCTTTACCTTTTGTGATCCCACAGTTCAGCTCTGCTGCTGATTTCCTGCCGAGGGGAGAAGCAAGGTGGGGTGAGGGGTCCCAGGCACCCCTTGCCCACCATCACCTACCTCCTCCCACCCACTGAGTGAGCAGCTGAATGAAGCTGCCACATTTTGGGAAGCTGATGCCGGGTAAAAGTTGGGGGCA